AAATGTGTTTGAATGACCTCTAGACAAGCAACCATTTTGGAGCTCAACTCTGTTTAAGTAACTGCTGCCACTACACCTGGTAGTTATGAGTGTGGCCATTTTTTCATTCTTTAAATGCCAAAGAGTCCACCAAAACTGAACTTCCAGATGAGAGGGCCTTCATCTACAGCACCATCAACACGAATACAATCAATAAGTTTATTCTTCCCAAATGGATTTAGAAAAGCAGACTTTAAGTCATCTGTATTTGATAACATACGCAGGTCTTCATAATGCTGAGAAGGACATTTCTGATGAAGTCCTGGAGCTTTCACCACACCTACACAAATCTCTGGTGTTGTTTCAGTTTTCGAAAAGTTATACTATGTAGTCTGAAGTACTGATGGATATTTATTAACATAATCCGTATGAGTAGTAAGGACATCTTGACCAGAAACTGTAGGAGCAGAATACTGCTTGCTTGTTGTTAACGTATCAAGTCGAAAACCAGCTGCATCATCCCTATTCAGTACCAATACATTACGACCATCCTTAAATTGAAAACCAATCAACCCCTTATAAAATGCACCACTCCAATGAGAATCTGGATTATAGCGAATATTAAATCCTTTTCTAGCACGTCTACTGGTCACTTTAGCAATTCCTCTATAACGTTTTGCAGACTGATGTCTTTTATTGCGCGGAATACAAAGTTGCACCACAGAACCATATGAAAAGTGTCTGTCATAGAACTCACAAAGATGCTTTCAAATTCTTTCATAAGTTATTTTCTGAGGAATTTTGATATTCCCATCAAAAGTTAAAACACCAGTTCTTCTCCATGCATCAGCACCTACATTTCCTTGCTGAACGAAATCCTCAATCACATTTCCAATATTTGGGTACATTTTCTCAATTTTTCTGATAATTTTAGATTGACAACGACACAAAAAGTTTTGTTTTGCAACCATCTTTAATTTCTCTCTCCGAGCACGCCTCTTAATTTGCATTCTTTGCTTGGATATTTGTTTATCCAGCACAACAGATGGAACCAGTTCTTGTACGAAAGTATCATCTTCAGTGTTACTTGGAACTACAAAGGTATCCTCTTCAGTGTTACTTGGAACTACAAAGGTATCCTCTTCAGTACTACTCGGAACCAGTTCTTGTACAAAGGTATCCTCTTTAGTGTTAC